GCCCTGGCCGAGCCAATCTACTAACATGAACTCCATCGAAAACCTCTGGGCCAAACTCGACCAGCAAGTCAAGAAACAACCAAAAAAACCAGCTTCGAAGAGCGATCTACTCCAAGTTTTGAAGCAAGAGTGGGCGAAAATCCCACAATCTAATATTGACGAGATGATTCTCACGATGCCCCAAAGGATCAACGAACTCCACGAAGCGAAAGGAAGATCTACTAGATATTAATTAAATTATAAATATATCAATTCATGTGAAAATGACTGAAAAATTTCATTTTTTCCTAAAAGGTATTGTTTATTTACTTGTGACCACACTGTGTACAAGCTCAGTCATTTTGATCAACCTCTTAACCACCATATATCCAACATTTAACCATGAAACTATACATAAATTCTAATATAGTAAATGTGTCTTCATAAGATTTGGCAACCTTTAAGTAAATATTATAAGTTCTTTGTATATAAAAAATTCAGACTTTAAATATTTTTACAGTAGATTTGTTTGTGAATTTATGGAGTCAGGGTCTGATTCAAACTCTGACTAGCCTGAGTGGAAGTTAATTTTTTATGTTAAGATTAATAATACTTTTTCATTTTACAGCTTTCAAATTTCACTTGCATAACCTGTAGAACCTCCTAAATGAATATTAAAAGTTTCTTTTCAGTAAGACTTTATATTTTATGTTATTTTCATATCCTGACACTGTACACAGGCTTGATCTATTTGACTGCCTCTGTAATGACAACAAAGAAAATTATGACAAAAATCTAAACTGCATATTGTTGCAGACAATTACACACTATTTATTCTTACAGTCAAAGCTAACACAATTCAAATCTCAATTTATTTTAGATTTACTGATTCAATACCACTCAGATTAGTGCCAAAGTTAGTTATCACAGCAAAGAAGCTTCATGTCAACACAGCATTGAGTTATCAGCATGCTTAGTCAAATTACATGTTACATGTGCAAAAAGTGCTCCTGCTACTGAGTATTTTTTTATATAATTTTTCTTATCTAGCATAATAAGTTTCTAATTTTTAAATTTTAGTTACTTTTATAACAATAAACAAGAAATTTAGTACTTAAATACCGGTATTGTATTTTTCTGCTCTTAATGTGTCAATGAAAGTTAACCCTATATTCTGTAGAGGTGTCATTAGTACTTTAATACAATTAAAAACACAAAATGCTAACACACAACAAAATAGCAATCTCTTGAGATTATTATCATATAACTAGCTTTCTAACTGAGCTACATATGTTAAAACATTTTCCTTATCTGATTGAGATAATCTTGGAAACAGCAAATAATGAAATTGGTGCATAATAACTCAAATCTAATAATGAGAACAAGCTAACCTCATAAAGAAAACAGTGAATTTAAATCTTCTCTTTCTACTGATTATAAATAATCCAATAGGAAATGTCAAACAGAATTATTCACATTTTTTAAAGATAACATGTGCTAGAAGAGACACAATATGCAAGTTTCAATTTATGGTATATAACTGTTTAATGCAAGAATAAACAGACACTATAAATTTTAATTTTAGCTCAGGGCTATCTAACATGTAAGTATGCAAGTCCTCAAAAACTTAAAAAATAATAAAAAAGTGAAAAGAAATTCTAAAATGAACAATTTAGAGCAAAGAAGTATAATGTGACAAAAGTGAAGATTGAGAATTTGTTTAAATATTTCATTTTGTATTTTAAAAATTGAAACTTATATAATATCAAAACTTCAATTACAAACTACATTCTAATGCCAAGTTTATTGAAATATATTGATAATAAAGTAGCTTAATTAAATTTTGAACTTAACTCCTTAGAAAGGTCATGGCATTGTCTACTTTGATCTACCCATATCTAGAAAGTTTAATGAATTAACTCCTAAATTTGTAAATCTTGACAAATATGTAGACACAACGTATGCATATTTCATCTTAGCTTTAGTTTATCAGTGATGAATATATATTTGTATTTTCTAAAACACTGATAATTAAAATTGTTTCCCTATTTCTTGTTTTCCTTTTGCAGAATGTATTAAGTTACAGTGCCACATGTTTGAAAACAAAATTTATGCATAAAGTAAAATAATTAATATTATTGAAAATCATCAGTTTTTAAATCCTACTCTTCATTAATCTTAATTTCTCTATTAAACATAATTTGTTTTAAGCAGTAGGCTACCATTGGTTTATCCAATACATTAAGTTACCATTTTGCCAAAACATGTAATTCATTATCTCCTACATTAGCAATTTCTATTTATCTAAGTTCTTCAACACACATTTATAATTACCTATACAATATCAACTGCTTATTTTTGAAAATATGTACTTTGTTTGTATAATGTGTTTATAATACTTGAAAAAACTAAAGTCCAAACCTTCATTTACTGTGTATCCTAAATTTTCTAAGTTTAGACAAAGTTTTTAAGAAAAGACTACTACTCTTCCATCTGTACATACTAAAGTAGTAGTATATATGACTATTGTATCTGAAGACAAACTGAAAACATAAAAAGAAAAAACAAAAGTATTCAAATAATATTAAAGATATCATTTTTACTACTCTTTTCAATAACTTTTATTTTATACACATAAGCAGTTTCAACTTGCTTGATCAAATTAAGTACATTTTATTTTGTTATTTAACTCTTCTAATTACAACAGTTACATCACCAAGAAAAAAATAGCCACATAATCTTCAAGTGACTTACTTGATGCACTTAGCTACATGGTGCACTTAATACTGTATCACTGTTTAACCCTAGAATGCCAGCATTAAATTTTCAATCATTAATATTCGGTGGTATGGGGTCATAGTGACCACACTTTGGCATTCTATGGTTAAGAACATTGCTTTTATGTGCACTTCTGTAATGGAGTGAAGAAATTAAAGAAATTTTACTTACTCCATCTGCTTACACATGGATTAACACTGATCACTCAAGCAATCACCAAAAATCACTTACACCACATTTTTTAAACTAAACCTTTTTTTTCTTACATCCTTTCTGGTTTCTTTTTATTGCATTTGTCATGTTTTTAGTATTAGATTACAGATATGACCATTTTCTGTTTCAAACATTGGGCAAGGCTTAATTTCTCCAGCCATTATTTCACAATTATAATTTTTTGTTTTTTCTTCAAATTAATTTCCTTTATATTCCACTTTTGTCTAAGTTTGTTCATTTAGATTGTGGATATTTTTGTTCAATGTAGTGTTAAGCAAAAGTATAACAGAAGTGCATCACTGTTGATTAACAAGATTAACAAATGTGTACCCAGCTGAATAAACAAACTATGTTTAAACAGACAGTAAGGAATGATCAAAACAATGTCACTTGTCTTATTAACAATGCTATACAAGCAAGTTAAAATGTACGTGTTTGTCAGATCAATCCAGATAATACATATTATGTAACATATGTAAAATACACACAAAACATGTAAATAACTATCTCAGACGAACTTCTGCATACAGCTATTTCTATTCACAATGACAGAAACAAGAATAAATTTTACTGCTGTACAAAATAAAACATAGAAATGCATCACAATATTGTAAAAAAAGTGTAACTTTATTGAGAATTTATGTCTGCACAAAACTACACTTATTAATATAAAACCAATAACTCTAAACAATTTAGTGGTTTGAACATTGTTAGAAATTTTCGATACCTATTACTGAAAACATCAAAAATTCTTGAGAAGCCAGGATGCAAAACAAACCTCATAATAAAAAACTTACTGGACACATTAAAGATCCCCTGAGACTTGTTGTAGCTATTTCAGAATCTGGATCTTGCTGAAGTTTCTCTTTAACTGTTAAACACACAATTAATTTTTAACATTAAAGATAAACCACTGACAATAAAATTGCATTACTTTTCATTTTAAACTTGCCTGTAAGCTGAACATCAGAAGCTTTTAGTGAATATTACTGTTAAGAAACATTCTTATTCTTTGCAAGTAAAGAAAACTAGAAACAGTACATCTTAATATTCATATATTAAACTTAGTTTTCAAACTGATATTTCCTTTTTTTTAATTTATTCCTGGTTCTTGATACACATTTGGATAAATGGTATACTTTCAATGTGACCGAGACATTTTTTTGTTAACAAAATAAATTTGTTCATCCCTACGTTTTAGCAATTTAATGGATACATTTTATCAGCTACCTTCAGTAAACCTTATAAAGCACAAAAGTACTTAAGATGCATGAAGAAAACATAGACTTACTCAAAGCTCTGGTATGGTCAGGGTTTCTTACACCAGAAGCTTTTAACCGACTTAATAAGGTTTCTGAACTCAGTCTTCTGACAATGTACACACCTACAACGTAACCCTATGTATGAAAGAAGATAAATTATTAGGTTAATTACACATAAGCGAAAACTAGGTAGATACTTTTACAAAAAACACACTTGTGTATGTAATTCAACTTTCATTCATCTATACTGTTGTTGAAAGTTGGATCTTAAATGGTTTTAAACCTTAGACTTATTAGAAATATCTATTTCAGTATATGTAGTGAAACTCAATTTGTAAAAATCAGAAACTATATTAAACTATAAAAATTAACAGCCTAGAGATAACTTCACTAAAATGTGTAACAAATAATTTACTGAAATACAATGTTTTTTGTCAAAATTAATTTGGCAACATCATGTTTCTCTTTACAAACAAATGAAGGTACCCCTAATTAAGCTCAAACAAGTTTGTTTTATCGTTTTAGAAGGTAGGCACAGAGCTACATAAGGGCTATCTGGACACAGTCATGTTTAATTTTTAATCAAAAGCCTAAAGGTAAAGCAGCTCATCAACTGCATTCACTGCCAACCCTTCAGCTACTCTTGTTTGACTGAATAGTGGGATTTGACCACCACACACCCATGGGATCAAAGTGCAGATTCATTGACCAAGCATACTAGCAATAGGCCACAACTGGTCCCTCAAATAAGTAAATAAATCACCACTAAAACCAAGATAACTCACAATTCTCCATTTTAGACAATCATAATATAGACTGATTATCAGAACCTATACACACACTTACATATCCGATGGTTTCCTAAGTCATACAGTATGGTTTTATAACTGAATATACATTCTATATTTTGTACATGTACAAGCCCCTAAAAAAATTAACCTTATAAAAATGATTCCTTTTTTTTTGCATGTGATATTCAAAACCTAGCTTCAGAGTTTTCTTCAACAATAATAAACATAAATGCATATTTTTGTACCCATATACCTGTATTACTATCTGATTTTTAGCACAGTTTTAAAAAATTTGCAAATTGAATAAAGTGTTTTAACTAAACAAATTATAGATATTATGGCAAGAACAATACTTTACTTTAAGGATGTATTGAAAAAAATTAATTAAAAGAAAAAATCCAGTTAATACATGTTACTTTTTCTTTTCAATATACAGAAAATTGCAATACATGCATGATAACCAAACAAAAAAATTCTTGTAATTAAAATAATTATACCCAAAAGTTTCATAAAAATTCACACTCAAATAAGAATCATCATTGTTCAGTACAAAGGATCAATATCTAAAGAAGTTATTATCAATATACACATTTATATGTTTATAAAAATATTAGAAAAATTACTACAGTAGTGAGTATGTTAAAATCCTTCATTTATATTGCTAATAATTCTGTGAATAAAAAATATTTTCTTTGTTTATTATACTTATTCTTCCTACACTGCTCTAGTCTTAAGGTAATATCTTTTGGCCTTATTTATAAAGAACATTCTGCACATCAGTTGTTTTTCCAAACAATATTCTCTGGATTTTGAATTTCCTTATTATACATTTTAATCCATCACACTTTCAATGGTTTCGAAAGTATGAAAAGAAATTTTACAGTTGTTCACTCATCACTTCAGTTGAACAACCACTTTTTTTAAAAATAATTTTTGCTACTATACCTTTCTTTGGTCTCAGAATTCTGCTCTTTCATAAATAATGAGCATTATCAGCAGATTATTTTGCCAAATTAAAGAGTGATTTAATTTTCCAACATAAATAGTGCATATGATTTTTTCTACTTCTTTTTTGAGAAATTAGGAATCCCAGTGTTGAGGCTGCAAGAAGATGAGCTGCACAAAATGTTTTGACAGAAACTTCGGGTCCAACACAGTATGAAAATACAACAATGCTTTTCACTTATCGGTTGATATGCAAATGCTATGCTACATCCAATGATATACTGAAGCAGAGGGTGCAAAACCATGCTTAGTGGAAAATATCTCTGGAGGAATTATAAGCATTTATTATATGTTTGTAGAACCTATGGTGGCAAAAGCATTTACCTGGAGTTCTTTTGGTCTGTGCAAAGTGGAATTATTTTATTTTTTACAAAGATAATGCCAAGGAGTAGATTTCAAAAAACAAGAACAAGAAGAAATGACCAACTTCAAACAGACAAATTTGCCCTGGTATCAGAAATTTGGAATGGCTTCAACTGAAAACAGCATTATCTGCTACAAGTCAGAGGATAACATTATTGTGAATGAGCAGCTGTTTCCTACAAAAGCACAGTGTTGCTGGACACAATACATGGCAAACAAACCAGATAAATATGGAATAAAGTTTTTACTTTCATAGATGGTGTATTTAAAGACATGTAGATTCTGAAAGGTTTCCACTACCTGGGCAAAGATGAAACTCACCCAGTTGGTCAGAGATTGGCAGAGAGCTTTGTACTCAGGCTGATGGCACCATAATTAGGAAAAAGAGAGGAAGAAATGTGAATATAGGAATTTTTTTTTACTTTACTTGAGTTGGCTAAAGAGTTGCAGAAAAATAAACAGCCTAGTTGGAACAGTTAACAAGTCAAGAAGAGAGCTTCCACCATCTGTGCTAAACGTACAGTCTATACAAAGTGACTTGTCTTGGCTGTGTTTTAGTAGACTAGTATTTTGTAAAATACAGTCACATTTCAAT